ATTTATTTATTTATTTATTTATTTATTTATTTATTTATTTATTTATTTATTTATTGTTCTTGGCTAACAACTGTTTCTATGTTGGAAGGGTTCTATTGCAAAAGACACTTGGTCTATGTATATATTCGCAAATTCTGGATGTCTCCAGAAAACCTTGTCTACTTCAAATTCTTACGATAAAAACTGTTGTTTGAGAATAATTTTAATTTTTAAAAATTTTAATAATGTTCCTCGGTATTTGATATGATGCAATTGCATTTTGTTCATTCTTTTGTTTTCAGAGAGAACGTTTTTTTCCTCTATTTTTTTTCTCGATTTAGAAAAATGAAATGGTTGTATTGCGTTTGACATGGAGCGCTTTATGTGTGACCATAATATTTTGTTTTTGTTTGTGCAACTGTAATGTTTTATATTATTTTATGTGTTACCATTACGTTTTACTATAACGTTTTACTATAACGTTTCGTAATAATATGTGTTATCGTTCAGTGTTTCTAAATGTGTTATTTTTGTGTGTCATTATTTGTATTATCATAAAATCTTTCTGTATGTGTTACCATAATGTGTTTTTTGTGCGTTGCTCTTAATGTTTCTATAATGTGCTGTTATAATGTGTTATATAACGTGTTTCTGTGTGTGTTCTCATAAAGTGTTTTATATATGTTACTATTTGTTGTTATTTGTGTTACTATAATGTGTTGTTTTGTGTTACTATAATGTGTTGTTATGTCTTACCTTAAGTATTTCTATATGGTTAACTATAACGTGCTGTATAATAATATGTGTCACCATAACATGTATGCGCGCTAGCATGGTATTATGTCGTTTGTGTTACCATAGTGTGTCACTCTATGTGCTACCAGAACGTGCTGCTATTAATCGAAGGCCGCCAAGTAAACTATGGTAAGTCAGGTTTTTCTTAGATGAGAGACAAAAAAAACGGATTTTCTTGAAGCACTGTTTTTGGTTGATCAACTTCAATTTCACAAGGGAGCCTTCATATGCCATGATAGACATCAGGCTCCCTTATAAAACGAAGTCCATCCATCCAAAACGCTTCGAGAAAATCCGTTCGTTTTTGTTGCTTTTTTGGTCTCTTCTGTAAAATTTGAAAAATATGACTCACCATAGTTTACTTGGCAGCCCTCGATGTGTCAGAGATATATCACGTTATGTCTCGCCACACAAACTACGTGATAGAGAACCTTGTCATAGCTGAACAATTGAAAACTCACCACACAAACTACGTGATAGGGAACCTTGTCATAGTTGAACAGTTGAAAGCTCACCACACAAAATACGTGATAGGGAACCTTGTCATAGCTGAACAGCTGAAAGCTCACCATACAAAATACGTGATAGGGAACCTTGTCATAGCTGAACAGCTGAAAGCTCACCACACAAAATACGTGATAGGGAACCTTGTCATAGCTGAACAGCTAAAAGCTCACCACACAAGCCTCCTATGATTCATGTTGTTGCCGTGGACGTCTCTTCTGTAATATACGTATTATGTTTTACGTGACGCGGGCCAGAGGCCTTCAACACTGAGGGAACACTTATCTATTATTTATTTGACAA